GGAAACGCCCCCTCCCCTACTCGGCACACGCTTCGAAGCCTCGATACGGAACGTCACATCACTACTTTTAGGGCCCAGTTTATTTGATATTGATGTTGTTTGTATTTTTCCCTATTTTTGGGTTAATAAAAAGCCCATGGCCCTGCAATGGACTGGTGGCCTGTCCAGGGTGTACCCTGCCTTCGCCCAATTGCTGGCTCCAGCCCCCCACCGACCCCGTTTGGGACTGAGCAGTATAGAAGATGAATGAATGAATTAATGAATAAATCTTTCATGAATAAATCATCTTTTTTAAACTTTAAAAGCTGTGTCCTCTGCCTTACTGTTTGGTCTCTGTTAAATTTGCATCCCACTGTACAGTTACTGTATGTGTGGTTTAATAACACAGCCAATGATTTAGAACTGTGACTAGTCTGGTTATTCTAACTAAGTTTAAGATGTCTTGAAGGAAATACAAATTTCCTCTGATGTTTCTTAACACTTATGCCGTTATCACCTGAAGAGTTTGCATTTATCTTGTCCTTAAATCACAAGCTGCGGCAACTTTATCCTTCATCCTGAAAGTTAAGGGCTCCCACTGCTTTCAGAAATCCATTTGCAGAGATATATACTGGCTAACATTATGCATCACTTTTTTCTCTTATGGTTATTATGCTACAATCACTGTCATTGCAGTCCTGTCAGCAGCAGTTCCACTGTGCCAAAACTGAACACACAGAAATATTTCAGTGTCCCTATAGTGAGCTATTTCTTTTGACTGCTTACAAAGTTTTACTTTTCCCAAAACATTTAACAGTGTGCGGCAATGGAAACTTCAGTAATACTCACCAGTATAAATGGTAGTAATTAGTGTCAGGTATTACCAGACAAAGCTCATTTTAAAAATATAGCAGTCTGTTATTTCACTTGTTTCAAAAAGATTCTGAAAACAGTGTCTGCTATTTAAAACAGACAGCATCTAACGGCAGTAAACACATTAGGGCTTCGATTCTTCAGAGACATTAATGGAAAAGGGAAAGAACAAAATTACACTGATATTTTTCTTTAATTGCTGAGATAATAAGGTGCCCATTTCAAACCACAATCATCTGGCAAAATCTCCGGTTTTCTTTTATTCTAGATTCATCAACCTCACTCTTTCTCTCTCTCTCTTTCTCGACCCTAGCCATAAGGTGGATTAGCCATATCAATGGATGATCATAATTACTGAATCAATGATGTAATTAATGTGATCATTAGGCTGCTATAAATGTTATCACACCGGGATCAGAGAGCTCAGCAATCAATATTGTACTTAAAGCCCTCCAATGCAGTTACCATTAAAACTAACATGACTACACACTTAAACATATATATGCACACACACAAGAACATGTATGTATACAAACACACACAGATCTAGTGACTACAGTTTTACTGCTCAGAGTACTCCCAAGATAGAGCCTATTATTCCTCCATCTAATTACTAAGCTATATCAATAGGCCGCTCTCCATGCAGAAATCAATGGGGTTACCCTGTATGGTCTCTGTCTTATTGGCCTTGTAGTGCATCTTTACCGAAGAGGAATTATATTTGGTGTGAGTGAGAAAGGGTGAGAGGTGAGGAATAAACGTGTAATGTGCGGACAGTGGGGAAGAAATGATAGGGTTTGTTGCTTGAGGACAGAGGGATGAGATGTCAGTTTGACAGAGGGAAGAAGAATGGGGTGATAACACACACGAGTGAAACGGATGAAGAGGAAGGAGAATGTGAAGAGGCAGTGTGTTGAAAGAAGAGTGATGAGTGGCTGAGTTAAGAGGACAGACTGGGAAAGGAGGAAAGTGTGTGATCAGGGTTTAAAAAAAGGAGGAGTGAAGTGGTGCAGAAAAAGACGGGGTGGTCCGACAAAAGGGTAGATAATGTATAGCAGAAAATTAATGGGTAAGGTCAGGAGAGAGGTGGAGAATATGGAGAGAATGCACAAGGTTAAGCAAAAAGATAATGGGGTGATGGGCTGTTTGGACAAATACATAATGTGTGAACATAATGTTAAGAGGGATGAAGAATGGACGGGTGAATACAAAGATAAAGGTTGAAAGGAAGAGAAAATGGCTGCTGTGGATGGATTATAATGAGTCTATACTATTAGTGTAGATGAAATCCAGGGGGTGTAGGCACAGGTTGGGAGGGGTTTCAGTGAGTGGAAAGTCCAGCCTGAAACATAAAATAACATGTTTGCTCCATAGAAGAATAGCTCTACGAATGCTGTCAAATAAGGACTGGATTTATACTTGACCTTACTTTTTAACTCTCATTAAAGACAACAAATGTTCTGTATTTAGTGATATCATAAGCTATTTTTTAAGTATGATATTAGTTTGAGGCAACACATCTTTTGAGCTGTAAAACCCCTTTGACCACCTGACAACTTTATTATCAATATAAAGCAGCACAAGTATCCAGTGTTGGAGGGAGACTAATTCCTGGTGAACAATTTTGGACGATTAAAAAAAAAAACCTGGCATGTTATTGGGTGGACCTCTTTTGCACTGTGGTGGAATCCAATATTGGAGGACTACGAGGTGAAGGGGAAGTGAAGGTCGGAGGAGATGAGACATGGAAATGGGGTGAAGAGGAGGGGTTGAAGGTGGGAGAATGAGGATAGATGGAGAGAGAGAGATCGGCGCGCTGAGTGCAGGTCGGATGGAGGGGTGAGGAGATGAGAAAAGGGAGGTGGATGAAAGGTCACAGGGTGAAGGACAGGTAAATCAGATGTGCAAAGTGACCTGAAAGCACATATATGAAAGGCCGAAGGGGTGGGGGAGTTAATGATTGGCTCACAAATATGAGATGCTCTTTTATTCCAAAAATGATGCAGCACATGAGGGATATGGTGTGACAGGAGGAAGAGAGAATACTAAAAGGTCACTATCCACCCATACACACATATAAACATATAATCTTATTACGTGTGCATGGTGCTGAGGGAGAATCCAAGGGCGTTCTGAAGTGGTCCTCCTCACACACACACACCACTGATCCTTCCTCCTCTGCGACACTGTGGTCTGGGCAGGGGAAACACTCCTGCTGCCTGGACGACATCTTGTAGGATCCAGGGGGACACGCTAGAAAAAAAAGCACACACAGAAATACAGCATATCAGACATGTCCACAAAATCGGATTTAATTCATTCCTGCCTCTTATATCTTAACAAGAGAAATCCCTTTTAAAACCTCATTT